TTTTTTTTTTTTTTTTTTTTTTTTTTTTTTTTTTTTTTTTTTTTTTAAATAAAGTTTTTAATTTTTGTTGATTTTGTTAAATAATTATTTCTTAACAGCAAAATGCATTATAGTAATAATTTTAAAAAATTTCTTTTGTAATAATTGCACAAAATTCTCTTCTTTTTTATTTACAATTTTTTGTTTTGCGTTTCTTTTTTTTTATTATTATTATTATTATTTTTTTTTTTATATTAATTTGTATAAAAAAAGTATAGATTAAATGAAAGTGTTTTAAGCACGATGCTCCGCGTAATTATTTTGGCACGTCCACACCGTTCTCACGTTCGTATTGAACTGAACGCAGAGCACAACCGTTTAAAAGTTGTTCGGTGCGTTTGATTGTAGTAAACCGACTAAATCTATACACAGTATTGCATTAATATCTACACACAGTAAAGCCAGGCCAGCGAGCAAGCAAGTATAAGTATGCACATCCATCGCACCAACATACAATGAAAACAAAATACATCTGAATATGTATGTTAATATATATATATATATATATTACATCTCTTTAAGTAAGAAGAGTATATGCAACGATATCATAAATGCAAACACACTATACCTTACACTGTACTAAGCAAGAAAAGAAAACTCTTTAAACTCGATAAAATTTCTCTTCTCTGCATGAGGAAAATAATTAAAGATTTGTCTTTAATAAGAGATTTTTTGATTTTGACGAAATAAAAAAAAAAAATAAAAAAAAAGAAAGGAAAGAAAGAGCATAAAAAATAAAATGAAATAATTCTCTTATGATAGCAAGGGAAGAGAGCATTTAAGGCAATACTCTCTTTCCTATTTAACTGAAAAGATATAAGAGATGCTTTTAAATAGAGTTGTAAACGGCTTATTTTATGAGAGAATTTTTTTTTTTTTTGGTATATTTAATAAAACTTAATTGTTTATATGATTAAAAAAAAAAAAAAAAAAATTGTTATTATTAAATATTTTGTTATGATATTGTTTTCACAATTTGTGCGTTTCGCATTATTTCATTGTTGTTTATTTATATTATTAGCAAAATAAAAAGTCGAAATAGAGATATGCATAGACAAACACACAAACACATATATATATGTATATATATATATATATATATGTCTATGAACACTTGAATATATTAAATGTTTAACGTTTAAGTAGACAACGAATGAATTAAAAATTGTAACAGAACTCTACTCTACATTGTATGCCACTATACAATCAATTAAAATTAGTTTAGTTAAAATGTATGCACTATTTAAGTATTTAGTATTGAATCCTTTTGAAAATCAAATAACGCACAATTGTGATTACGCTACCGTAAATTATTCTCTTTAGAGTAAAAGAATTTTGTGTTTTTTAATTTCATTTGTGATGGGTTGGGGTGTGGTGTGGTGTCTTTAAGTCGCAATAGCTTATAAACTATAAAAATAAGAAAATATATATTTTGTCACATAGAGTATACTATGCTTTCAATATAATGATTGAAACGAATATTTTATCTTGATATGTTATGTAAACAGTAATAAGGAATTTTTCTATAGAATTTAAATTTAAAATTTTTAAAAATATTATTAAAAGTTATCGCGTTACAGTTTTGGGTAAAATATAAATTAAACATCTACTGCTTTCTACGGCTTACAAAAAAAAAAAAAAAAAAAAAAAGTTCATAACTTTTATTCAAATATATATTAAAAGGATTTATCAATTATTTAATTGTTCGCCATATGTTCGCTATATCAGCTTCTCGGGTAGTTAACAAGTTTTACATATATGGAATATGAAGGAAATGATTTATAAAATTGTAAGAATAGTTTTCTTTATTTGAATTTTAAGAGACTCAAGACTCAATATACATTTTACACTATCAAATATTAATAGTTTGACATTCTTGATATAACAATAGCTGCTTGTATTATATTACAAGCGCACATTCAATTTGATAATGATATGATTACAAGAAGGTGTGGTATATATGCGATGCATACCGAACGAGATACTTTTTTCTTAGTTTTGTCGAATAGTAAGTACACCCGTACTATTTTCTGATAGCAGTTCTGCCTTTGGCGTCAACTTTTATTTGAACGCCTCACAAGACGGTCACGCTTTAAAAGTAAGATTGGGTTAAAGTGCTTGGAGTTTAGGTAGAAATCCATTGCCCGATTGAGAAGAAAATTTTCATTACGGTTTATATTGTTTTGTAAATATCTTCCTCTACTTCATATTGTGCTGTGAAGAGACTCCGACAGCTCTAGCGGTCTTATCTATAAAGATTATCTCATTTTTACGCTTTTCTTTTTCGCTTTCTTTCGAGATTAGATCACGAGAAGAAACTTCAAATTGTCTTAGGTTCGTCATAGCAATCCCGTTCCAAAATAACGAAATGCTGGAGCAACTTGGTGGTAATGAAAATGAAATATTGTGACGATAAGCAAAAGGGTGTTAATGAGTTTTCGATATATGATATATCTGGTGGACAATGAAACGGAAGTGGGCAGATAAGAGAATGAGATAGAAAATCAATAGAATTTGGAAGATATTTAGAAAGTGAAACATTTTGTAAGATAAGATTTTGTTAGATTATGGGTAGACACCAAAAAAATACTATAATCATCTCAAGATCTAGGTGAAGAACTCATATTAATAGCAGCAGCATAAGTATCAGGATCAGCAATCGTAGCACTAGGCAGTGCTAGTAGCATTTACGTTAGTTGAATAATTAAGAAACTCTGCTGAATTAACTATATAAACAGTCAAGTCGTTTATAATGCAGTTATACTCGCGAATTAATTCAAGTGTCAGGAATTAGATCGGATAAGTGCAGCTATAGATAAGAGTTTGAAGCGATTTGAGTTTTTAGAATGCTCTTGCACGCAAAGGTGACGCATTAAGGGAAAAATGTTCAAATTTTTATTACACATTATAGGATACCTGTCATATACATTAAGTCTGCTTAGCCGGGCATTGATAATTCGATTTTGATTTTCATGCTTATCGACTACGCCCGCTTCCCGAGTTTCGTTTTAGGAAAAATGACAATTTGAAAACACATTGACAACAATTTCCAACATTAATAATACTTTGTAATTTAAACGGAACTTTTGTGATTGTACTTCATTCTTTTATACAAACTCTTTTTATTTATTCGTTTAAACAAGAAATTATTTATAATATACATTTTTTTTTGTTCTTTTCTCTCTCTCTCTCTCTCTCTCTGTGTGTGTGTCTCTGTCCCGTTTAATATCTGTTTTTACATTTAATTTTATTGCTTTACTGTTGCTTTTGTTGTTGTCATTTTCAATTTCTTTATGTGCTTAACTTGTTATATGTTTTAGCAGCATTTTTAAGGGTTTCGAACATAAACAACTAGGGCATGGCATGGTGTGTAAAGCAAAGCAAAAACATATATACACAAAGGCATACATTTCTCTATGCGTTTTAGCATTTCTTGCTATTGACATGTGTTTATGTATCGAGATACAAAGTTACAGATGTGTAGAATTGTGGGTATGTTTCTGTTGACAGTTTGTTAACAAATTCCTGTATGTTGGGCGAGCGTGTGCTTGTATGTACGAACGTTGCAGCCATAAACAGCTGAATTTTGTAAATTCGTTGCAATTTTTACGCACTTTTGTCCTTTTGACTCTTTTCATATAACGAATGCTTGCTTGATTAATATGTTATTCGTTCTGTCCGAATACATGATTTACAATTTCATTTTTTTCCTGTCCTTATCTTCTTATTCTTAGCCTTTTTAACATATTTTTTAATATTCGGCAGGAGGACGATTCAATTTAATTTAAGTAATGAGAAACCTCGCTAATTCGTATCATTCGTAATCGTTACCTTAAGGCATTTGGCTTAATGCAAGCGTTCGATTAAGTTTTATTTTTATTATTGAACCGAACCAAAGTATGGGGATTTTCTTCTCGCTTTCTGAAATGCTTGGAAATGCGGAAAAAGGATCTGTGTTATAAAACAACAATTCTTGATCGGCATAGAATTTCCAGTCTATTCAACGAAAACCATCCGTCTGACTGTCTGTCTGTCTGTCTGTCTGTCTTCCGGCCCTTTGTTGTTGCTATATGCCTTCACGGTATTTTCTTCATCATCCGGTATTAGGTCATCAGCTCATAGCAGCTTTTCCTAAAATAAATTATGTGAAAAATAATCGCACCTTCAATAGTCTTTAATGCTAAGGAGTTTTACGCAATTGCTTATCCTTTGTGTTCGCTATAAACCGAAACTTACGATACAGTCAGTAAGCAAGCTTAGGTTTTAGGTTACAAGCGGAGGGATTGTAACTTACCCGTGAAAACGTTGTGAATAGAGCGGATAGTGAAAATCGTATCATTTATCTGGTGCGCCTGCGTCCAACAAGAGTATGGGTGCGATTTACAAAATTCTCTGAAAAGTTTTCCAATCAGAAATCGGTGAAGTCTTGCTGGTGGAAAAACATTGCTTGCCGATTCGGGCTCCATAGTATCTAGAAGTCTACCGGAAGGATATCCTAGGCGAGGAACCCACCCATACCCAGAATATCGTTTTGACAGTGATGTGACCGGAAGAGGGACGGAGTTCAAATAGCGAAGATTGCTTCATCTTTCTTCTACTTGTTCAATCCGTGGGTAATCGGGCCACGTAAGATCTTAATACATTAAATTAAGTCAAAAATCAAGCATCCTTTTTATTTTTATTTGTAAATTTTGAGAGCTCGGATCGTCTATTAATTTGCTTTAACTTCTTATATTCCACAGAGGGTTAATTTAAATTACTTTCAACATATGCAACATCTAAAGTGACCTGCGATAAATCAATTTCTAAATCAATTTAATCGTGTCCGTCCATTTGTCCATCCGCCTGTGTGTGTGTGTGTAATGTCTATTAGGTTAGATATAGATCACATATTTTGAAGTTATTTTGATGAACTTTTTTGTTTTTTGTTTTGATAAGTAATTTTATCATTTTGTTGATCATTTCTCGTATAGCGCCTTCTTCTGAAAAGCTCTGTATAAGAAATAAATATTATTATCTTTAATATATCTCGACAAAAATCATTGAAAGATAGTGTCTTGGCACATACCAAATGAACAAACAAAAACAAAATTTTAAGCGTTAAAACAAATTTTTTAAACATCCTCCGATTAGGAAAAAAATTTTTACATAAGGATAAGGTCTAATATTTCGTATTTTTTGTTGAAATTTGCTCAAGACAAAAGTTAACAAGCATCTAATTCATCTATTTTTCGGGCAATTTACTCGGCGTATAGGGATTGTTGTGAAAAGCAAGTTTTTATCGGTTATAAACAGTATTTTATTTTTCAAATGGCATGATGGGCAAGTGTATAAGATGTAAGGTATTTCAAGATCGGCATTACCTTATCGATTAAATTGTTCATTTTCCATTGAAGCGATTTTGCTGGTATAACTATTTAGTCATAAGCTACGCCTTTGTAGGTGTTCTGCATGGCATCACTTCTTTTTTCTTGCACTTTATAATCGTTGCTTGAATTTTTTTCATCCCCAAGCCTATGTTAAAGTTTCCATTACAAGTTCGCTATGATGAGAGAAAAGTTTATTTATTTCCTTTTTTTATTTTATTTTTATTATTATAATTATATGGTTACGCTTCTCTTTTAGAGTATGCGCGCTTTGAAAAACCGCAAAGAATTTTATCCGACATTTTTATTACACGTTAAACATTTTCACAAATATTCCAACGATGATCGAGATAAAAAAACGAAAGAACAACGACACATACACACGTTCCAATGGATAGAATGAATGATTAATATTTCAATGCTCACACTAATGGATGAATGGATAAAATGAATTTATTATCCTCTTTGCAATGGCGAACATGCTATATGTAGATGTTGTGAAAATGTTTTACGTTAATGTGTTTAATTATTGTTATTGTTGTTTTATTGAGAAGATCGCGATTGTTATTAAATTGAATTGGTGAAATTATTGGGACTAATGGAAGGAGTATACCTTTGGCAGGGCATTGCACAAGCATTGATTTTGAGAGATCTATGAACAAATTGGATTGATTGATTAGGTAAAATTTTGCTAAAACTAAAATTAATTAATATATCAATTAATGTAAACAATAAACGAGCAAACTTACATGCACTGATATGATCCTTAGTTACGGCAATCGAACAAAGATTTACACGTTGTCTTGCATTGAGCTTCGAGTCACTTACGATAGGATCGAGAAATTTTCAGAGAAAACAGTTATGGCATAAGACTTTGCAAGAGTGTAAAGTGCAAAGCGTATGAAAGGTTTGAAATGATCACTTCTGTGTTCAAAGAACTTGAAGGTGCATGATATGCTTCGGAATTTGTTGTTCCAAATGTCTTTGTCTACTCATTACATTTAACTCAATTTGATTTAATTTTTTATCCACGCCCCCAAAAAATATTCAAATGGCAAAGGAATTTGTACTTTTTTTAAAAGATGGCATAGCCAATACTGCGATAACTCTATGCGAATTTATTTTCCTCTTTTTCTTCTTCTTTTTCTTCTTCCAGAATGCAGTAGAGTTTATTATCTTCACATTCTACGTCATACCATATGTCATTTAACGTGATAAAAGGGGGAAAAAAAAAGTCAAAAGAGCGGATAATACTCATTTCTGGATTTGTTTTGAAGAAAAGTCCTGTTGAAAGGACTATTATTAAGAGCTCAAGCTCTAAAAGATTCGTGAATGAAGTCCAGCCGATATCTAAAAAAACTCGATGACAAAGGCGAATATTTTTAATTCCCGGCAAATATCGTTTCATAATTGCATCACGAAATTTGCAAGGGAAAGGGATCTATCATCGACTATCACGGGTAATGTGACCGAGCTCAACATAAAACAAAAAAAAGGGATTTCTGAGCATGGCACCGTTGATCCACCTATTGCGGAACTCGTCCAGTCGATATTAGAAGAAAGAAATATCTACACTGTCATATATTTTACAACAACTGAGCAGAAAATGGCGGCTTGACAGATATATTTCTTGTTCTCTGGCCGGCCTGCTACTCTAGAGGGAAAAATTTAATTTTCTGATAAATTTTCTCAAACTTTGCATGATGATCCTACCGTCGAAAGGATAGTAGCGAGCATGAATCTGAATTCAGATTTTTGGTATATGTCTGACGGATAAAGATTGATGCAGTTTGATTAGATATATCGGACGGCTTTCACCTAATCCTAGTGTCCTTGTGGCATAGAGATCTAGTGTATTCATTATGGATTGAAAAGCCGTTTGAAAAGCGATGGCAGTCCAATTTTCTGTTACTTTCTTTCAAGATTGTCATAAATTGTTGTTTTCTCCTCCCCCCTTATGGATGTTGTCATCGGTAACGCAGAGCTCCGAGAGAGAAGAAACAAAAATATTAACAAATTTTTTTCAAATCTAAGAGTACTTAGCTATTTAATTGCCATTCGATTTGAATATATTCGTAAGTTATAAAACTTGATTCTTAGCGATTTGAATATATTTCTGGTCGAAATAATTCTTTTCACTCGTGAATATATCGTAAAATAATCTCCTTTGTAGACATTATGTAGAACGAGAAAGGAAGAGCGCGACAACATAAATGGGCGGAGGGTTGAAAAAGAACTTAAACAAAGTAATCGTCATAATCACCATCATCATCATCAACATTGTAGTAGCAGCCGTAAAGGATTAATCGTATGCTTCACTATATAAATATAAATCATTCATAGTGTTATGAATATTTTTTGCCTTCCGCAACATAACGTAAACAAACTCTTTAAAGAGATTTTATTGTCGAATTTAAATCCAACAATAATTTCCCGTTCAATTAGTTAACAACATGCTATCAATACGCAACACACAAACATACTTATACGCAAACAACATAGAAAGCAAAAAAGCATTTGAAAATGAGGAAACCAAACATAACCGAACAACGACCGGCCGACGTATGTATATATGTAAAAGTAAATGTACACAAACTTACATATTTATATAAAGGCATAGAAAAAGTGTTCGTTGTATTTCCCAAATCAGAAAAATGAATAAAAACCGAAAGAAAAGCAAACGAAACATGAAGTAGAATAATAATAATAATAACAACAACAACAACAACGAAAACAATAGTAATAGTAACAACATCGGCAGCGGCATTCAGTCAGTCAAACAATAACAACAGCAAACATGGTAATCATCGTTGTGTGAATATTAGCATTATACTAGGAGATAGACGGGAGTGTTTTCAGGCAAGATCCCAAAAAGAAAAAATAATAATAATAATAATAATAATAATAATAGTAATAATAAAAATAAAAATTAAAAAGGTAAATTTAAAAAAAAAAAAAAATAGGAAAAAAAAAGAAAATCAAAAAAATGGTTTCAAGTCTACGTTTATATCAGTCTGTGGAATTAAAAGAAGATGCACTCACACTGCGCTATATAGAAAAATATGTTTTATTACAAACTTTCCACAGGTATGCCTACCTACACATATAACAACACATATAATATCTGTCTAGTTGTACTATACCTATGTATGTTATCTACGCTTAAGCATTACTCTGTATGTGTGCGTATATATGTGTTTGTCGATTATTTTCACATGAACATAATTCACTATGCACACACACACACACACATACACCTATATATATATATATATATATATATATATATATATACAACATACACAGCAACAACAATAACAAGAACTTCTACTTCAACTTCCACTTCGTTTGGCTCGTTTTTATACATTATTCGCTACAAGTGACCATCCTTTTCCATTAGTCGATTCCTTGTAGCCCTTTTGTATCTCCTGCACTTCAATATCAACAGCAGCACCAACAGCAGCAGCATATATAACAATAACAACGAGAGCAGTAAAAGAGCACAACACAGCTTTTAACACTCAACTACATGAAGAAATACTGACACATACCTTGAACTATACAAACCGATGTTATTGTTATTCTTATTGTTATTGTTATCGTTGTAATGTTGAACAAAAACTCATCTACAGTAGTTTGAATCCATACACACACACACACGCACACACACACACACATAATAACATGTAATTGGGAATTTGAAGAGAGAAAGAAAAATGTAAAGAAGAAGAAGAAGAAGTGAAAAAGAAATTTCACAAGAATTAAATAAAATCGCACAACAATTATGTACATATGTATATAAAGCAAGTGTGAAAATTGTAGGATTTTCATTAACGGTACCGATCCTTATCATACTAAAAAAAGTCGCAAACCACTTTACAATAAAACCGCAATACTTTTAATTTGCAACAAAAATGCTAGGCTAACAATTCCGCGACAGCAATCACATTACATTCACTTAAAGTTGCGGTTTGATTTTTTTTTTTCCAAAAAAAAAAAAAAAAAAAAAAAAACGAAAATGAAAACAACAAAATAAATAACATAACATCACCAGCATAAAGTAAACTTCAAACAGTCAATTTGCAAGCATAATTGCATATCGTGTATGGTTTCTTCAGGTCGTCGGCTCAAGCAGATGTCGCAATTATGCTTGTTAACATGACCCTTAAGCTGAAATTTGCTCTTATTCGTGAGAATGATCTTTTTTTTTTTTTTTTTTTTTTTTTTTTCTTTTATAAAAGTCTTCATATTTTTTAAAAAATATCGGTAGATAGATGAGGCGTACAGTACGTCAATACTGATCCAGATAATCGTACTATCGCTAGTAGTTAACTGTTCAGCGATTACATGGCCGTTGCAGCCATCCAATCGATCTTGATAGGTTTGTTGGTTCGAATTATTCTTTACATAATTGAAAGTCCGTCGTAGGCCGCCCTATGACATGTCTAAACCAAATTTAGGTCTATAGTCTTCTCTTGAGCTAAGCTTCAGGCTGTTGCTTCTATTCATAGTCGAGAAGATTGCGTCTCCTTCAGGCTCTAGAATGAATCTTAATTTCAAGTAAAACCATGTCTTCTAATGGTGATCGTATGAGCCTTAGCCGTTTTGCTTGTGTAATAACACGAATAAATAATAGTAAAAACAACTTTGCCTTTTTTTCTAAATTAACCTAAAATTAAGCTAAAGAAGAATTTTTTAAATTATTGCGAATGCATTTTTTTTTTATTCAGTTGGAAAATGACTCGGACAAGACTCCGTTAATGTTCATGTAAACTTTGTAGGCCTCCACTTGTAAAATCGATTAAGTCTAGAAAATCGAAAATCGTGTACTGACTAAACCAGAGAAAGCGATTTTCATATATATTTAATTTTCAAATGCTTTAAAAAAAATATATATATATATGTATATATATATATATATAATATTTTAATTAACTAAAAAATTTTATTATGATTAACATTAGAGTATGATTTGAAATTTTCATTGATATTCGTCGGTGAATGGTTAACAAATTGCTTGCTATTTAGTGTTTTCAATATATATTATGGGAGCAAAATATATTGCTTCACTATCCGTATGCAGTTAGGAGTTGAAAAAAAAAAAAAAAACAAAAAACAAAAGAAAGAAATTCAGAAAGTGAAGTTAATCGATTTGGCAAGCGAAGCA